ATCTAATGATTTACATAGCTATTTAATCATTCATTTGGCTATTTAATCCTATCATAGCTTTCTAAAGATTTTGTAGCTATTTAATGATTTGCATAGCAATTTAATTATTCATTTGCCTATTTTATCCTATCATTGCTATCTAAATATCTTGCAACTATTTAAAATTGTGATAGAAAAGAAAAAAACCTAAATCAGAGTCTGCGATTTCTAACAATAAAAAATACTGACAATTATATGTTTATTCTTATAAGCATCAAAAAGAATACTACGTTATCATCACTAGTAGATGTTTTGCTCAAATATTCATCCTACCTTGCTGATTCTTCAGAACAGGGTTTGTTTAGTTGATATGAGGATGAATTCGTTTTTTGCTTATTTCATCTTTTTATCATCTAATATGTTTTACTGTAATAAAAAAAAGCAAAATAAACCACGAGCAGAGGTTTGTTTGGTTGAGTGAGAATGAATTCGTTTTTTTATGCAATCTTTCTATCATTTAATATCTTTTACTTTGAAAAAAAATAAACTATGATCAGAGGTTTGTGTTTGGTTGATAACAAGATGGATTCTTTCTTATTATTTCATCTTTTTATCATCTAATTTCTTTTACTTCAAAAAAAAAATAAAATAAATCACGAGCAGAGGGTTGTTGGGTTGATGTGAGGATGAATTCGTTTTTTTTATTTTATCTTTTTATTATCTAATATCTTTTATTTCGAAAAAAACAAAATAAACCACGAGCAGTGGGTTGCTTAGTTGATGTGAGGATAAATTCAAAAAAAAACAGAACGCAAAACAATGAGCCACGCAGCTATTTAAATAATTGAGTGTCACTGTTGTTTTGTTTGAATTGCTAGCTAACTATGAAAAAACCAGTATCAAAGCTTTTAAATAGCCAAAGTTTTCTTTAAATAGCGATATTTCATTAAAAAGTATCTCTTTTGAGAATTTTAAATAGCCAAAGCTTTCTTTAAATAGCGAAATCTTTAATTAAAAAGTATCTCTTTTGAGAAGCTACGGAACTTACCTTCTTGTTAGAGTTCGACTAATATCAAAATATAATTTATTGATCAGTTTCTATTTTTCAATCTACTTGCGTGTCATGAGAAATTTTGTACAAGTTACAAGTGTTTTTATGAAAAGTCTACTCGAAACCAGGAAATACAATATTGTGTTTCCGTTCGATGCACGTCCCATCGTCAGCAGTGTATGACAATATTCACTATCAAGATTAGCTTTTCTTTCTTCTCGTTTTGCCATTTTCTTCATTCTGTTCGACAGCCTGTTTATAGCTACTCGATACTTTTAACTTCGTTTTGTACATATCAAGTTGGTTAGACTGCAGTTTACTAGGTACATAATCATGTCGTCAAACACCGATAAAAAACCATGAAGAGATGAATATGCACGAAATTCAATTTTTCTTTTTTTCGTTTGACAATATAATTAAGTTACATTTGTTGCGCAAGAAAAGATTATCGATTGATTCTTTAAAAATCCTTCATTATTCATTATCGAAAGATCTTTCGGTGATAAAAGAGATTTGGTATCGTAAAGAAAATAGACATGGTTACTGA